CCTTTAGCACACAGACCTTAGGTAGACATTCTAGATACAATAGCAGAATACAACAGTTACTAGTATGGCATTATGTAAAAATGTGAATGTGTAACCGATGTGATTCTGCAATCTGTATTTGGGGTAAAAATGGGAGTTTATAACTCACTTGAAACTAATATTTGAAATATGATATGTCAAGAGCTTTGTAAGGTTTTGAACAACCAATAAAAAAAGAAAAAAAAATTATAGCATACATTTTAAATTAATTATGCATAGGTAATGTTTTCCTATAGGCATTTTGTAATTTGTATTCTAGTTCTGTTGTAGTTTCTTTCTTACTCTCTTAAGAGTAGTAAAGTGATTTATTTGAAATGTTTTGAATTCTTATTTATAATTTTTGATTAGCCTACTATATATGTTTGCTTTGTAGTTACCAGGAGTTTTACAAAAATATCTTTTGATTATAGAAATATTTCTTAAATGATAGCAATTTAATGATCACAGACATAACAGATAAAACACAAACTATACTTGCATTCCACTTATCTTCATAATTGAATTTTTGACATTCAATATCATATCTAAATTGCCTATATTAATATTTTAAGAATTATTTTCAATTATTTTGTATTTGTCTTCATACTAAAGATACAAATGGTTTATGGGTTGTGTTTACAATATTTGAACATTCTGAGTTGTATAATTACTGTTAACATTGGGAGATATGAAACTCGCTGTTTTCTTTGCTCACCAATATGTTTCATCTTAAGGAACTGCCTTTAGCATTTATTGTAGGACAGGATGGGTAGAGATATATTCTCTCATGTTTTTATTTTCTGGGAATTGTATTCTGTAATTAAAAGACAAAGTAACTGAAACAATAAAATCCAAATACATGTTCTTTACAAGAAACTCAATTCACTTCTGCAGACAGGCACAGACTGAAAACTAAGGGTAGAATAAAATGTTACAGGCAAATGGAATACAAGAAGCAGGAGCATTCATACTTATATCTGATAAAATAGAATAAGTTAAAAGTGGTAAGAAAAAGAAGATCATTATATAATGGTAAAGGGGTTAATTAAGCAGGAAGAAAAAAATTCTAAATAAATTTGTGCCCCATATCAGAGCACTGAAACATAGAAAACAAATATAAGTAGACCTAAAGGGAGAGATAGATTGCAATATAATAGTAGGGAATGTAACACTGCACTTTCACCAATGGACAGATCATCCAGAGTCCAAGGAATAGCAGAGTTCATTTGCATCCTAGACCCAATGGCCCTAATAATTATCAACAGAACATTCCACCCAACAGCTACAGAAAAATTCTACTATATGCTTTATCATTATTTTGACTGTACTCCTTACACTTTTAAAATGAAAAAGTTCACTGTAAATCAGTATGTTATGTTTCACTACCAGCAGCTTCACCCATCTTATGTTTACTGCATCTCTTCATCATCTCATTTTCTCTTGTGCTTCATTTAATCCTTGTTTTGTTCACGCCATGGCTYCTAAGCCTACAAAATCCACTGCTAATGTCCCAGTAAGAGGCCATCTCAAGAGACTGACCTGGAAAAGAAATTAAAGTGATTAAGAACTATGAAGAAAAAAATATTAGTGAAAATTATTGCACAGTCAGGCATGTTCCATCCCACCATGGCTATTCTCTTGTAGGACCAGAACACAGGGATAGAAGCTGGTAAAGGGTTTGCGTCACTGAAGTAATGGAGACTAAAATTTGAGAAGAACTTGAAGCAGAAATGGAGAAATATCTAATGACTTGGATTGAAGACCAGACACAAAGATATCCCTCTCAGCACTATGGTCATCAAGGTCAAAGTAAAAATGCCGTTTGTGATGCTGAAAGAAGGCTGGACCCAACTATGATTCGGAATTTACTGCTAGCTCTGAATGATTTAAATTACTTGAGAATAATTGCTCATTACATAATGTGAGAAAGAGTAACAAATGTTCATGTGGTGATGTAAAGTCAGTTGGATTTTTTTTTTTTAAACATGCAGATAGTCTGTGGAGGAAAACTATTTACCAAAGCAAAGCAAATCTTCAGTATTGACAATCCCTCCCTAATCTGGAAACAGTCTCAAAAAGATTTTTTTCATCCACAGGGAAGTTAAAGTCAATGCTAAGTTTTAAGACATTGAAAGATGGCATAACAGTATGATTTGGGGGCAATATTGAAGGATACCAGCTAAAATTCTTCTTAACCTACAGTGAGAAGCACAGGGCATTCAGGCATCTCAACAAGCACACACTGCCATTGCATTACAGGAACAATCAGAGGTCATGGATAACCCAGCTCCTCTTGCAAGATGCTCTCCTTGTATGTGTTCACTGCTACACCAGTGAAATGGAGAAGCACAATTTTGGAGAACTACACACTTCAATGTTTTGCTCATGTTGATAATGTTCTTGATTATCCTCCTCCAACTTTTAATCTCCAGCTCTTTGCCAAGGTGGCGTTTCTTCCTCCAAAACACCATTCTTTGATACAACCAATGGATCAAGGAGTTTAACAGGTCTTAAAATCTACCATCTGAGGATAATGTTTGCCTAGGCTGTTGCTGCAGCTGAGGAAGATAGTAAGCAGACACTGATGCAATTCTGGAAAAATTACAAATCTATGACTGCATCAAGAACCTTGCTTTCACTTGGAATGATGTCACCAAGAAATATGAGTGGCATCTGGAAAAACAGAAGAATTTCATTTAGGATTCAAAGGATTTGTTAAGGATGAGGTGGTTGCAAAAAAAAAAAAGCTATAATTAAGATGCAAAACAAATTTAACCTATGTGTAGGTAAGGATAATATTGGGGAGCAGAGGAGCTCCTAGGGTGTCCCCCCGCAAAGAATAGAATAATAAGGCACTGTTGGAACTGGAACAAGAACTCTCAGCTAAAAAGACAGAAGAAAATTGCATGGGGAAATAAAAAACTTCCAAAAAATTCACACTGAAGGGTTTAGCAATTTTCAACAAGCTCCTTAAAAAATTTGAAAACATGGGCCCCCCAAAACAAAAACAAAACAAAAAAATATTCATAGAGGGAATATTCCTGGTACATCATCTGTTTATAAGCAGATCTAAGATGAAATAATGAAACCAAGGAAACCACCATGTGATGCCAGACACTAGGAACTTTTTGCCTGRATGACAATGAAAAACAATCCAGTCAGGCAAGTGAACACATACAAGGCTTTTTTTTAGGGCTTCTATTTAGTAAGGGAGACAAATCTCTGACAAGAAGCATCCCTGAATCAGAGAAGAGTTCATTTTACTAGTTACTTGCAGGGTGAGAATGTTAATTGGCACTAAACTTGAGCGTTTTTCCCTGTGCTGAAGATAATTCACTACAGCTGTTCAGGACAACACATACAGGACACCCAGACATTAGTGATGCAAAGTGACTCTGGTCACTGCAGGATCCCAGAGTTCTGTGTCTGTGTCCCCAGAAGATAAGTTGCCTGAACGTTCCTGTGTAGTCAAGTCTCCTGGTTGTTGTTCCCCCGGCGTGGAAACAGTTMACAGGGTCGCTCCATTTAGGGCTGCCAACTTAGCTTCTTCATCTGCCCGTCTGTTTCCAACTGCCACGGGGTCGTTCCCCTTCTGGTGCCCCTGACAGTGCACTATAGCTAGTTCTTTAGGGCCTTTCACTGCCGAGAGAAGGTGGAGGATCTCATCTTTGTTCTCTATTTCCTTCCCGGCAGAGGTTAATAGCCCCCTTTGCTGGTAAATAGCCCCGTGCACATGAGCAGTGGCAAATGCATAGTGGCTATCAGGGTATATGGTGGCTCTTTTGCCTGATTCTAGCTCCAGTGCTTTCGTAAGGGCAATTAGTTCTGCTTTTTGAGCTGATGTCCCTTCTGGGAGGCCAGAGGACCAGATAACATTAGTTTTGCTAACTATCACTGCTCCAGCCCACCGCTTACCGCTTACCGTCTTGGAGGAAGCTGCTCCCGTCCGTCCATAAACCATATGACCTCAGGGCGGGGCAGTGGCTGATCCTTTAAGTCTCGGCGTACACTGGTCTCCTCTGCCAGTATGTGTTGACAATCATGAGCGACGGGTCCTGATGATTCTTCTGGCAGCAGTGTAACCGGGTTAAGTGGAGCAGGGGGTCCCAGCGTTATTCTGTCTTTGTCAAGCAAGAGGCTCTGGTAATGGGTTATTCTGGAATTTGACAACCACCTGTCTGGAGGCTGACGGATGATGCTCTTCAGGGCATGGGGGGCTATGATGGTCAGCTTCTGTCCCAATGTTAATTTATCAGCATCCTTTATTAGAAGGGCTGCCGCCGCTATAGCCCTTAGGCAATGGGGCCACCCGCTAGCCACTGGGTCCAGTTTCTTTGATAAGTATGCTACCGGCCTTCTCCAAGGTCCCAAAGTCTGAGTGAGCACTCCCCGTGCTATTCCTCTCTTTTCCTCGATGTAGAGAGTGAAGGGTTTTTCTACATCTGGGAGTGCTAAGGCTGGAGCAGATAGCAGCGCCTTTTTGATATTATCAAAAGCCTGTTGGTGTTCAGGGGTCCATTGGAATTGGGCATCCCCCTTTATCAGCAGGTATAGAGGGGCAGCCAAAGACGCAAACCCAGGAATCCATAACCTACAAAAGCCGGCAGTCCCAAGAAACTCTCTGAGTTGTCTCTTATTAGATGGGGGCGGTATCTGCACAACAGTTCGTTTTCTAGGCTCAGTAAGCCATCGTTTGCCATCCCTAAGAGAATAACCCAGGAAGATTACTTCTTGTTGACAAATTTGGGCCTTTTTGGCAGAAGCCCTATATCCGAGCTGAGCAAGCTCGGATAATAGTGCTTGGGTCCCAGACTCACAGTTCTCCTTGGTGTCGGCTGCCAGCAGCAGATCATCCACATATTGGAGTAGGGTGACTTCGGGGTGTGCAGTTCTGAA